CCTAAAAACGTTCAGAAACGTGGCTCAAATAGGGCCCTGTACTTGACAGCCAGAAATTCAAATGATTCAAAGTCCCCCAGGGTCTCTTTTCTACACTTAAGTGGATCTTTAAACAGAGTAACCAGTCCTCCCTCTTTTTTAAACACTCTGATGGAGAAATTGTAATTGGGAGGTATGGTCTCCAACAAAATTGGTATCTTGTTATTTTCACTTAGCCATGTCTCAGTAAGAAGCATAAAATCAAGATTTCAAAAATGATTTTCCTTACAGATATTGGTGCAATTGATCACAAAATGAATGGCTCTGATCGTATCACGGTTTTGAGTCACAGATCGGATAAGCAGAAAGTTGATTTTACATGAACAGATAGAGCTGTAGTGTTGGGCTGGATACAGGAGATGGCGTTGTGGAGGCCTTGTAGGGGAGGAGTTCAGTCTTCTGTCGGGATTTCACTCTGGTTTGTCGGGGTTCAACGGATGGCGACTGTGCTACAAAACAGTCATGGATGGCAGCTGGCGACCTTTATCCTTTAATCCTTCCGTTTTTGTTCCAATTCCAAGCAGTGTTAATTTCGTCAACCAGAACGATTACAAAAAAATTTCGTCAAGGCCCCTTTTTTCCTTGACGATGACAAGATTATGACGCACAAAAATTGTTTTCAGAAAATAAAAATAAGATGATTATAAAAAATGATTTTTGTAAACGAGACTAAGACCAGACGAAATTTACAAGCCATGGACGAATTCGCATTAAAAAACGTAATTGTTCATAATTATTTTATATTTGTTAATATAAGTGTTTCTTGAACTTCATAGAAGATTATATGTTGTTGCCCTGTTTGTCCCTACACGCCACTCAATCAGTAGTAGCAGAGGGCTTATAGTCCTAGAATCACTGGTAGTAGTTAACTGTGGCTAGCTCAACTTCGCAGTCATGGCGTTGGGATCGGATACCGGTGTACTGTTTGTTGAAGGAGCTGGGAAAAAACAATGCTTGGCTGTATGGGGCCATTTTGTTTACAACGCAAAGGACAACAAAACAACCTGCATGATAATGATTGATCATGCTGCCGATGCTGGTGGTGGCCAAGATGTGGAAACACTGGAGGAAGGACGCCACCAAAGAGTCTGAGGTTCAAAATGGCAGGAAAGAATACAAAGAAACTCAAGCGACATATGAGGTGCCAACATGCTGCCATATGGAAGAAGGTAAGGAACGTGTGGGTCTGTCAGTACTTAAAAGCTATTTAACAGGCCCTAGTAGTAGTATCACCTGTATCTTCATCCTGGTGTTGAAATTGATTTGGTATAGTAGTTCTGTCGCAGAGATGTTGGGAGCACCCCCACCTTACAAACCTCACGCCAATGAGCAGAAAGCCCTGGAGAACTCAATGGCAAAGACTATTGGGCGTTCTGGCCTGCCTGCAAGATCATTGAGAATGAAACAATCGACAGAAGGTTCAATGTGAACAGTCAGATAAATGTTTAAAAGAGAATCGGTGTGTGAAGTTTTATTCTGTACATTGTGATATATTTAAAAAAAGAGAATCAGTGTGTGGAAAAGTTCTGTTCTGCAGTGTTATATAAATAAAATAGAAAAATAGAGAAGCAATGTGTGGTGAAGTTCTATTTTTTACAGCGTTGACTAAAAAATGACTAAAATAACAAAAATTTGACTAAGACTTAAACAGATTTTTGTCATTGTGACTAAGACTAAATTTAAAAAAGTTGAGGAAATTAACACTGGTTCCAATGCCTTAGCAGAGTGACATTTAGTTTATCATCAGGGAGACACTCTATCAGATTTTCATTTGCATCATGTACTTTGTTTAGAGAGAAGGAAATGTCCTTTAACTGTGTCTGTGTTGTTCTTATTGCGAAAGAGTTCAGTCTTAGTAACAGTATCATTTACTATTAATGTTCTTGGATTATTTTTTATTACGAGGCTGTTTTAGAGGGCTGAATTTCCTCATACCTTTGTCTATTGTCTGGAAACTGGCTGTCCTCCTCAGGGTCAGCAACAAGTTGGGCAGCCAACCTGTTATTTAGCGGAATCCAAGTATTCTCAGTAATTTCAGTGGGACCTTTCTTACCCTTTGTTTTAGAATAAACAGCTTTTTGCAACTATTGTTATTTGGAGTAGGAGACATACATTGAAGTCTGGACAAGTTTTTATCATCTAGATTTGGCTTTCAGCTTGTCAGGCATCTTTTAAAATCTGGGTTGGATTCTTCGGTTTTTGGCTTTGCAACAAAAGTTTCCCAGGGAGGGCTACTGGTCTGGTTATTGTCATTTGACTCCACAGGCTCCTCCAAATTGACAATAGACAGGGACAAAAAATCTGGTTCAATGAGCCTAGATTGGTAGAGTTGAAATAGGTAGGCAACATTCTAAAGACAATGTCAGTTGTATTAATACTATCTTTCTAACCTCTGTATTTGCTGTTGCTCTAACGCTCTCTCTGAATTTTAGCATCATAGGTACTTTAATCTGTGTCAGCTGGGAGTGCCTACCACAGTATGACTCCAATAGAGCACGTTTAATCTCATCATCAGTTATTTATATGTCATTGCATATTGTTTGCATTGCATATTGCAACTATTGCATTGCAAGAAACCAGTAACATCTCATAGCAATACATTTATATCTTCCATTTTTATTCCTTATTAAATCATAGCTACTAATTATATTTGAACATCTAGTAAAACCTACTTTTGTTAACAGGATCATTTGTAATCAGCAGAGATATCAGGAGCTGTAGTGTAATGGAAAATGTGGGAAGTAAAACTGAAACAAATAATCTCAGTGATCGAAAGGTACAATTTCAAGGCAGCACTTTTCTGGAAGCAGTGTTTAACAACAACTGCTGTTCCTTAGTGAAATGCTCAATATTTCTTGCATGAAAAAATAATAGATGCATGAGATTTCTGTAAATATTTCTTCGGCTACAGTGATCTATTGTCAAAAGCAGGAGTCAAAATGAGAAGGAAACTTTAAAGCCATCCAGCAATTTAAACCTGCTTTAACTAGCCAGCCTGAGTATTGGTTATACAGCTTGTCCGATTAACTGGTGCCAATTTTGGTGTTAATATAACATTTTATTTTTTTCAAACAAGACAAGAAAAGGTGCAGATAGGACTCGTGTTATAGAGCAATAAAAGGCCAAACAATTTTTTCATTATGTAGACATACATAATGTGCATGGATGATTTTTTTATTTGGGTTCTCAATCATTTTAGGAAAACAGTTTAACCATTTAAAAGCATTTAACAAAACTTAAAAAAATTCTATATCAAATGTCCCCTCAGTAGAAACAGCAGTAGAAAAAAAAAACTTTGTTTCAGTCGTAATACAAACAGTAAAACCGTCACTTTTTTATGCTTTTTATTCAGCACCGCCAATGAACTCCAACAAAAACAATACTTTAACACCGCCCTCTTCTGGTACAGTACAGATAACACACCTTCTCGGCAACTGCTGCGCCTGCTCTAGGCCGCTCGCTGTAATCATTAGACCGTTTGTACATGAAACAGAAAAAAAACATATATATATATATATATATATATATATATATATATATATATATATATATATATGACACAACAGAGAACGAAATGATCGCTGGTGGCGATCTGTCACCAGGGAGAAAAAGGTTTATGTGTGACCATGCGGCGCAGGCGCGGTGGCCAAGTGGTAAGGCGTCGGTCTCGTAAACCGAAGATCGCGGGTTCGAACCCCGTCCGTGCCTTTTGAATGGAACCACATCATACCGTCTAGTACATAGACAGCTTTGATGATAAAATTCCAATTTGAAAATACAGCCATTTCTTGTTTTTACACAGTAATTTCATATCATCAGGTAAATTGGATAATTCAACCATGCATCCGCCGTAACTGGACACAAAACTGCAGTTTCGTGAAATGGATAATTCAACCATGCATCCGCAAATGTCCGTAACTTGACACAATACTGCAGTTTCCTGGGTAATGCACAGTTCTGCAGTATCTTTGTTTCAGATATGCTGCATCACTGTCATATTCAGTTTCTTATGGCTGCTATTTCTTCTAAAAGGGGTTGCAGATGATTTAATATTATTGTGACTACATTACAGTTTTTGTTTTAGAGATCTGTGAGATAAAATTCTTTATTAGCAATCAGTTCATTACAATACTGCATACTATCACTCTTTGGAGCTAACTATTAAACATCCTCTCGATTAATTCTTCCCTTGAAACCTTTTGCCTACAATCTATCAGTGTTTTATAAGTATTTTTATTTTATTTATTTTTTTTGTTTTACTCACATTTTGTGACACTTGTAATCTAAAGGCTCAGCATTTAACCTAGGTGGGACTTCACTGGATGTCATTTTCTGGGTAAAATTAAGTTTGGCTGTTCCTTAATTTGAAGCACACGAAATCAGAATGTAGAATAAAGGGAAATGGATTAAAAATCATGAACAGTCATGTTAAAATAAATGTGTTTGCCCTTATTCTGAGTAGGTAAATAAGATGATTTGTCAATGACAATTATATGCATTTTACATACGGCAATGTAGTTTCTTTTTTTTTTTTTTTCATATTTTAAAATCCATTGGAAAAGTGTCTCACCTACTTGCTTGAAACAAGAAAAATGCACCTATTTTTCTGCAGTGTTCTTGTGGGAAAAAAAAAAACCCAAGCAGTTCTAATCTGTGAGTCACATCCTGTCTACATTTACGTTGGCTTAAAACTTTTTTTTTGATAAAGCTCATGGAGGCTCAACTTATCCTGAGCTATCTCTGTAGTTTTAGGCTGCTTGAGCAAGACAACTATACCTCACTTTGCCATTTTTCATAGAGCAAAAGGGATGACTCTTCATTTAATTACCCAGATACAGCCAAACAAACTGAGTAGATAAATACTTAAAGACCTGATGAACAGGTTTCTTAAAAGAAGTGCAGGACTGCAAGGTTTTCATTTACAGTTTAAAACAGCATACAGCATCAGACAGAGACAGAAGTGATATCCCAAATAAATTTAATGCGTTATACTTCTCGTGCCACTTGAAATATATATATAAAGAACATTTTTGATTAAGGAAAAAAATGGATGATGTAATAAATGAAACCAAAATTCTATTAACCCAAGAATTAAAAAAATAAACTCAGAATCTAATATGGTTTTGTCTTTGCCATTTACAATTGTGGATTCTGTGCAGACATTTGTAGGCCTTGACCCAGATATCCAATTCCATCTGTGAACTGAATGCTTTTCATTTAATTCTCCCATGGATCTCTCATTTTAGTAGAAACATAAGCTGAGCACAGAACAAAGGAGCGGTGTATTTGTGTGTTCCTTAGTAAAGAGGAGCAGCTTTCTATAGTAACATCTAGGACAGCTAGATTAAATGCTGTGTTCAGCTCGCTATATAGCAGAGAGGAGGAAAATGATAAGATTAATCAGTAAGAACGCCTTCCTCTAAAAAAACAAAAAACAAAACAAAAGCAAAGCAAAATGCAAACTCTTTCAGAAAGGAATGTTAACTCATACTTTTGGATGTTTTGCTCTGGTTGTGTTGGTGGAGGATTATGCACCATCCAGTGGTATGCATGTAGATGTCACTCACACCTGATAAGCTGAAACTGGTTTGGTGACTTTGGAAATGCCCCACTCTTTGTGGGGCTGTGTGGCGTAAAGGTATGTTTACATTCTGATAAGAATGAAGTTAACTCTGAAAATAAACATAATTCATCATAGATTAAAAGAAAAATGTAAATCAGGTGACCTGACAGCTATTCACTAGCTAGACATGGCTCAAGAATTGTGGGACAGGACCACTGAGCAGCTAGCCCTCCTTTCTACAGCAACACATAACTGTTGATGACTCAGAATCCTTGAAGCTGTTTGCTTAATAAAAGTCTTTAATTATAGATTTTATGTTCAAAACACTGACAAAGCACAACGAGTGGACTTCGGGGCAGCTGAGTTGGCTTTTAAAATATAAAAGTTTTTCCCAGTTCCAACAACCTCAGCGTGTAAAAAAAAATATTGAAGGGATAAAAATTACAATATAAGGCAATTGCAGTATATACAAGCATGCATTTGCAGTTTATCTTTTTTTTTTTTTTTTGAGTAATACAAGGAAGGATTGTCTGTAATAATACAAAAAGGCGTATTTGTTTCCAGCAGCGTAGCTGACTACCCTGGGGACAAATATGGAAAACAACACAGAGAAGGTGTTGTTTTCCCAGTGGTGCTTCTCTGTTGCACTAAATGAACACGCCAGAACCAGTATAGTCTGCTAAACTATTGTGAACAAAAACACCTTTCACTCTATTTCACTCTATCCCTCTTTTTTTCATTGTTAAAAAAAATAATTTCTAAAAGTTATCAGAAAATCTTTTACTTAATAAATTTCCCAAAGTTTCATTGAAAACAGATGATGGTGAAAATATATGTCTTTTTTTATCCTATTCCACAAAAGGCACATTGGACATGAAGATGCATTGAATCAGTACATATTGCACGTTGGGTGGTCGTTACCACACATGAAATCTGGCCATAGAGCGTACTTCTTGATGTATGGCGCTTTCCTCAAACACTTGGCCGCCTCTCTGTCACACTTGCATAAAAACTTCTCACATTTGTCCTCTAAATCCTCTGAAATTAAAAGAATAGACAGTTAAGTAATTAAAAACATAAAACAAACTATAGAAAAACATTACAATACAACATATTCTAAATAACGGGGAGAGGAATCTGGTTATTTTTTTGAATTTCTGAGTCAATTTTTAACAAAAATGCTCTTAGAAGTGGTTTGAAAGCACCATACAATTTGCTATTATAGGTTTCACTACTCTAAAACAATGATTATCTTTACGTGATAAAAAAAAAAAAAATATATATATATATATATATATTTATATATATATATATATTTAATCAGCAGTGCTCCAGACAGAGTTACTCAATGAAACATATTGTTTAAATGAAGCTTGCTGTCCATCTGTTTTAGTTTCGTTCAACTTCACATACAGTAAACAAGTTAGTGTACAGTAAACAGTATTTTCCGTACAGGTACTTGTAGGCACAACTGTAAAGTTAAAAAAGGAAACCTCTTGGATGGCTAATTATCCCTTTAACTTAGGTTAAAAAGTGTTGTTATTGAAGTAGTACTGCTTTTACTTGAATACAGATTTAGGGTTCTTTACCCAGCTTTGGTTTAGACCACAGCATTCAGTGTATTTTACTAGAACTTTGTGTGAAAAACCAAATAAAACATAATAAATGTCTATTTAATGGGAAGAAAATTATATGAATTTCCATATAAAGATTTGAAAGTGTGTCCTTCATCTCTATTCAAACTCTCTGGATCTGATACCCTAATGTGGTTGATTTCAAAAGTTACCTTTTCAGATTAAATTACATTCTCTTTATATTATAAAGAGAAGAACAACACTTCAAATGTATTAATGCATGGACATATTAATGTGTTTGCATAGAGGCAGCAGGATAATGGCTATAATCATACAACTTGCAGAAAAATAGAACAAAATAGAACAAAACACAGTTAAGATCAAAGTATATTTCTGGCCTAATCAAAGTCCATGTCGAATCAGCATCAGGGATCTAAGGTAAACCTGGAAAATTGAGTTTATTGACTCTATCCATCTAATCTGATTAAGTTTAAGAATTTTGGTTTAAAAAAAAAGCAATGGGCAAATAAAAAATTCCAGTCTGCATTAAAAAAACAAAAAACTGGTAGAGAATTATTCAAAAACACTTGCAGATGTTTTTTAGTGAAGGCCAAGTTACTTCAATTCAATTCAGTTTATTTATATAGGGCCAATTCAAAACACGTCATCTCAAGGCACTTTACATTATTCATTCAAAGTTTTCTATCCAAGGGAAACAGTTGATTGTATCGACTCATTGACTGGGATACAATCCCACACACTAAGCATGCTTGTAGCGACAGTGGAGAGGAAAAACTCCCTTTAAACAGGAAGAAACCTCCAGCAGAAGCAGGCTCAGTGTGAGCGGCCATCTGCCGAGGCTAACTGGGGTTCAAGGAGACAGAAGCAGAGATACAAAGAGCAGAAAGGCGGCCCCGTACAGGAAACACAAAGCCAGGCAGACAAGCTCTGATCCAACTCCCATGTTTCATAAGTATTGCTTTTGAGCTACAGTTATAAACAATCTGAGGTCATATTTTATGTTTTTAGGTCATTTGCTTTGATGCTGTAACCCCAGTAGATGATGTAGGAAGAGATAATACTCTCCACAACAGACTTACAGGTGCTGGTCATAAAATTAGAATATCATGAAAAAGTAGATTGATTTCAGTAATTCCATTCAAAAAGTGAAACTTGTATATTATATTCATACATTACATACAAACTCATATATTTCAGATGTTTATTTTGTTTAATTTTGATGATTACAAATGACAACAAATGAAAATCTCAAATTCATCATATCAGAAAATTAGAATATTACTGAAGACCAATAAAAACAAAGGATTTATAGAAATGTTGGCCAACTGAAAAGTATGAACATGAAAAGTATGAGCATGTACAGCACTCAGTATTTAGTTGGGCCTCCTTTGGCCTGTATTACTGCAGCAATGCGGCGTGGCATGGAGTCGATCAGTCTGTGGCACTGCTCAGGTGTTATGATAGCCCAGGTTGCTCTAATAGTGGCTTTTAGCTCTTCTGAATTGTTGGGTCTGGTGTATTGCATCTTCTTCTTCACAATACCCCATAGATTTTCTATGGGGTTAAGGTCAGGAGAGTTTGCTGGCCAATTAAGAACAGGGATACCATGGTCCTTCCACCAGGTACTGGTAGCTTTGGCACTGTGTGCAGGTGCCAAGTCCTGTTGGAAAATGAAATCTGCATCTCCAAAAAGTTGGTCAGCTGCAGGAAGCATGAAGTGCTCTAAAACTTCCTGGTATGTGGCTGCGTTGACCCTGGACCTCAGAAAACACAATGGACCAACACCAGCAGATGACATGGCACCCCAAACCATCACTGACTGTGGAAACTTTACACTGGACTTCAAGCAACGTGGATGAAGTGCCTCTCTTCTTTTCCTCCAGACTCTGGGACCTTGATTTCCAAAGGAAATGCAAAATTTACTTTCATCAGAGAACATGACTTTGGACCACTCACCAGCAGTCCAGTCCTGTTTCTCTTTAGACGCTTCTGACGCTGTCTGTGGTTCAAGAGTGGCTTGACACAAGGAATGCGACAGCAGAAACCCATGTCTTTCATACGTCTGTGTGTGGTGGTTCTTGAAGCACTCACTCCAGCTGCAGTCCACTCTTTGTGAATCTCCCCCACATTTTTGAAGGGGTTTTGTTTCACAATCCTCTCCAGGGTGCGGTTATCTCTCTTGCTTGTACACTTTTTTCGACCACATCTTTTCCTTCCCTTCGCCTCTCTATTAATGTGCTTGGACACTGAGCTCTGTGAACAGCCAGCCTCTTTAGCGATGACCTTTTGTGTCTTGCCCTCCTTGTGCAAGGTGTCGATGGTCGTCTTTTGGACAACTGTCAAGTCAGCAGTCTTCCCCATGATTGTGTAGCCTATAGAACTAGACTGAAAGACCATTTAAAGGCTTTTGCAGGTGGTTTGAGTTAGTTAGCTGATTAGAGTGTGGCACCAGGGGCCATCAATTTTGAACCTTTTCACAATATTCTAATTTTCTGATATGATGAATTTGAGATTTTCATTTGTTGTCATTTGTAATCATCAAAATTAAACAAAATAAACATCTGAAATATATGAGTTTGTATGTAATGTATGAATATAATATACAAGTTTCACTTTTTAAATGGAATTACTGAAATCAATCTACTTTTTCATGATATTCTAATTTTATGACCAGCACCTGTATGTAGCATCTTGCTGCTAATGCTGAATGGCCTACGCTTCCTTAGGAAGTACAATCTGCTCTGTCCCTTCTTGCAAATGACTTGTTGCGTCCTGTGCTGCTGAGTGCTTGATGAGGCAGCTGAACTTTCAGTCTAACAAGCTGTGGTCTGTTTGTTAGGTAGTTTTTTATCCAGGCAATTGTTGATGCCTCCACCTGTGTCTTCTAAAGTATTTCACAAAGTGCGTCAGGCTGAATTGTGTTAAATGTACTAGAGAAATCAAAGAACATGATCCTCACAGTCCTGTCTGCCTTGTCTAAATGACAGTGGGTTTGTTAAAGCAGGTGCATGATGGGATCTTCAACTGCAACTGCAAAAGCAAACTGCAGGGGGTCCTGATAGCTGCTTTGTTTGCTGAGGTGAACCAACAGAAATCTCTATAGGGCCTTCAGGATGTGGGATGTCAGGGCAACAGGTCTATAATCACTGAGGACTGTTGCCTGAGGTGTTTTTGGAACTGGAACCAGACAGGAGATCTTTAACATCACTGGAACTGTCTTCTGGGTCAGACTAATGTTGAAGGGGTGCTGTAGAATATGAACACCTATGCACACATCTTTCACTTAATGAATATGTAAAAATCATTACCACATTCTGCTTTCCTGTCCTCACAAGTCCAATGATATTGGGATGTTTTGGTGAAGCAACCAAGATTTTCTGCATCTCCATAACAGCAGTCATGCTTGTGGCAACACCTATACACACAACAGAGTAAAAGCATTAAGTCCTCCGTCTGGAGCGGACTGCGTGAGGACAGCAGTGTAGGTGGGTGGTAAGGGAACACCACAGGTATTTTAAAAGCAGACCAGGATCACCACTTTGGTTTTACACTAAACTTAGTTGGCAGTCAAATGTTTTTTAACGAATAAGACGTCTAGTGGTGAAGATAGAAAACAAAGAGATAGTAATTAGGATCCGGGTGTGGTATCTCAGACCTATTTTAAAATCCCAGTTGGACCGGGCAAGTGTTTTGACATTATTCACTCGTTCCACCCCTCTCTCCACTGTTTGTGGTTTAGCAGTCAGAGTTAGAAGTGGAAACTGCTTACACCTATTTTGGAAAAAGGAAGACTTGAGCTCAACCAAGAGGGTCAAATAAAGTCGGCATACCATCCCCGCAGAAAGGAGTGAAAACACACTAATGGATTCTGAATTACATGCTTCATAACACAGGATACATGTGCAAACCAGTCTGATTGCTTAAATTCTGGTCCACATTGTCATCAGGTGCAGAGACATACTATTATGTGAGTAAAAGTTAAGAGAGTCAGCAGTTGTTTTACCAGTCTGCCTTGTCTCGGGGCCAGCCCTGACCCCCCAGCCCGCAGTAGCATCCGTACATCATGTAATTTAAAGCAGATCTCCCGGTGCTGCATCTGATAGCTCCTGCAAGCTCAAGTAACCCTCTTTTGGTCCTTTGGGGAGTGTGCGCTGTGTCAAGGGCCACACCCACTGCAAAGGGAAACAAACAGCAAATCCACAAGTTCTAGAACGCTAACCTCACTCTTATCTTTTATCAAAAAATGGTTAAAATCAAACATTATATAACAATTTTAACAAGTAAAAGAAAATAGTTAATTGTAATTAAAAAAATCCCAAAACTAATCAGGTCCAACTCTATTCCACTTATTTGCTTTGCCTGCCAACACACCTCACAACAAGCTTTAACAAAAAACAACTCTGACTTCTTCAGTATTCTTTAGCCTTCTTTCACGGTCAAATCAGAAGCACAACATTTCAACTTACCGGATAACAGCAGGAGAACACAGTAAAATGTCATCACTGCGTGCAACAGGTAGGTCAACTCTGCTGAATGTGGATTCCTGCTCTTCCACCGACTGAGTGCTGAGTGAAGGGGAAGGCTTTATTTAGAGGCTGCTGCAGTAATCTCTTGAGCATCATAATTGGACGGGGCATAAGCTAGTGTTTGTGAAACAAGGCTCCCCCTGCAGGAACATGCCTGGGTCTTCTTTTTTTATATATATATATATATCTCTGCTTTCGTTGACAATTTGCCCTTGAAGGAAAAAAAATTAAAATATGATATTTTGGTCCCTATTAAAAATGTCAGCTGAGCAACATTTTTGCTCCACAGAAATCACAGAATATTACAGTATTTATCTTGAAATGTGTTTTTTACAATTAAAACACTTGCTCTATAGCTCTAACGACTTTCCGAACAACCCTTATTTTGCAAGAAAAGGAAGCTATTGATTCAAAACATTGTCATCTCGGCTCAAAAATCAACACTGTGGTCAAACATGCCCCAAACGCCACAAAATATAGAACACCACAGAGAAACCTAGAAAATGCTTTTCTTCAGATTATACCATCCATATCAGGTTTTGTGTTTATGTACTGCAGGCCAAATGCAACATTTCACAAGTGACCACAATCCTATCGAAAACTATACATTTATAAAGAGGTTATAGAAGCAAAAATCCTGTATAAGTTAGAATAAAGAAGAAATAATTTCCCCATGATAAGACAGTTTATAGATAGATAGATAGATAGACAGACAGACAGACAGACAGACAGACAGACAGACAGACAGACAGACAGACAGACAGACAGACAGACAGACAGACAGACAGATAGATAGATAGATAGATAGATAGATAGATAGACAGATGTTTAGGTTTGAGAATAAACAAAAACTTTACATCCATACAACCTTAATAATTAACTTTATTTAAAGTAAAGTAAAGTTAAAATAAAATAATAAAACTGCTTTAGTAACATGGAAAAAAATTGTTTTATCATTATTAAAAGGAAGAGGCAATTTTAACTTATAAAATCAGAAATAAATAATTTCAGCAACATTTTAATTAACTTCTCAAAGATTACTTAATTTGTAAGTTTTTAAAAATTATAAATAAAATAACTTTTTACATAGAATTTTCCTATGTCCCTGCAAAAAGTGGCAAAAACGCATTTTGAAATAACCAATTTAAACATTAAATGCATTAACAGGAAGTCTTTTTTTGACTAAATGAAATCGGTACTAGATTATTTAAATTGCAATTTCATTTTCCTATTTCATTTAGTTAAAATAATTAAGAATGTGATATTTAAGATACAATTTCAAAAGATAGCCCAGCAAAAAAGTTTAAAAATGTATTTCTAAATGACAAATTTGTTCATCAACATGCATTAGCAGAAATAATTTTTCATTACACAGTCAAACCTGCATTTGTTTTCTTCATACCAACAAATAATCCAAACTGCTTTTTAATTTTCTTATCCAATGCTGCTAATTTTGTTACTTAATTTAATTTATTAAAAAATATATAAAATTCAACATTTCAAAAGATGCCCCAGCAAAAAGTGACCAAAATTATATGCTACTATTGGTCATTTGAATTTTCATTAAAAAAACGATACAGCTCTGTCTTTAAAAAGAAACAGGCATTTCTGTTGATATGAAAAGTTGTTTTTAGACACACTACTTTGCAGTGATGGGACTAACGGCGTTGAAAGTAACGGCGTTACTAACGCCGTTACCTTGTGTTAGTAACGAGTAATCTAACTAATTACTTTGACTGTAACTATAACGCAGTTACCATTGCAGGCACCCCGTTACTGCGCGTTACTTAGGTCGCGCAATGAACCTTTTTTCATGTTAGGACTCGTGCGCAGCTGCGTGAAGCTGACACCCCACCCACGTCAAAAAACTCTGCAAATAGACTGAATGGTTAGTGCAACGTTAGTGCAGATTTGTGCAGAAAAAAATATTGTTTGTGCTACTTTTGTTTAAGAGATATTAAAGATTATTTTTTTAGGTCATCCAGAGGTGCGCGCCTTGTCATGAGAGAGGGGAGGATGAGATTCCGTCTGTCAGTTGAATAGGTGGGTGTTTCTGCTGGTGGGTGTTAACGTACAGCACACACAGAGAGATGGAGAGTGAGGATGACTCCAGCAGCAAAACAGCGTTTTCCACATGGAAATACTGGTGTTACGTAGAGCTGCGTTTCCCCATCACATACGGTTTCCCCTGCATCTCCGCACAGCGCAGGCGGCACGAGTCACCGCGCAAGCGACAGGAAACGCGCATGTTTGCTAAAGGCGCGCAACAGTCGCCCTGTGCTCGCGCCACAGGAGAAGTATGGAGAGCGTGAACGATCAAATGAACCTGACAACAGCCAGAAATGATAGCCTATATGGAGAAAGGGAGAAATCTGGATGGATGGATGGATGGATGGATGGATGGATGGATGGATGGATGGATGGATGGATGGATGGATGGATGGGTGGATGGATGGATGGATGGATGGATGGATGGATGGATGGATGGATGGATGGATGGATGGATGGATGCTCTGCCTTCTCAACCTACTGTATTTTTTATTTTAAACATTATTTGATGGCCTTTGTGGCAGGGATGGAGATCCATATTTTATGTCACACACAGAGTATACATCTAGATAGATAGATAGATAGATAGATAGATAGATAGATAGATAGATAGATAGATAGATGATAGATAGATAGATAGATAGATAGATAGATAGATAGATAGATAGATGTTGCAGTATCTATAACAACCCAAACACACAGGATTTCAGAATTAGACATCCCCAGTTATTAATTTCATATACTCACCAGATCTGAATGTCCTGTTAAAAAACTTCACATAGCGTTCCCCCCTGATGTCATTTACGTTGAGTTGCAATAAATGCTAAACTGTCTGGAGGTTCTTGTCTTTGTTGTCCGCTCTATTCAGCTGGCTTTGGAAACACACGGCGAGAAGGTGGGGGCTGGGTGGTGAGGGTTACGGGGGCGAGAAACGCAAAAGTAACGCAATAGTTACTTTTACTAGTAACTAGTTACTTTTATTGTGGAGTAACTCAGTTAGTAACTCAGTTACTTTTTGGGAGAAGTAACTAGTAACTATAACTAATTACTTTTTCAAAGTAACGTGCCCAACACTGCTACTTTGTCACTTTTATTGGAAAATTTACTGCGTCATGGTGGTTAAAACACTTTAAATCCTAAATGCACTTTTCCAATATGATCCATTAGATAACACTTGCATTTAGTCAAAAATGTAACCTGCAATATGATTTTTAATTCTCAATTCAGTCATTTGGCTACATTTTGGGAAATCTTTTGAAAAGGAGATGTAAAATTTTATTTTGTTAAAGTAAGTAAAAAAGTATCAATATTTAGATGAAAATGCATTTTGGATGATTGATCTTTAATTTTATCTGTAAATCAGAAAATGCAGCTTTACTTTGAAAATGAGAAACAACTTTCAATCATTTCATTTTAATTAGAAAATCCAGATACATTTGCTTTCATATTAAAAAAGAAACATAAAATGCAATAGAAAATAAATTGAATTAAAATTTTAATTCATATATAGGTTCTGAACATTTATGAAATACTTTGTTATATCCTTTATTATTGTTGTTAGGTAAGTTTTTTTCTGAAAACAGAAAGCTAAAAGGAGGACATTTATTTAAATGGTCAATTACAGAATAGCTTTTGTTCTGGTTCTTTTTCATTATTTGAAAGGTTGATCTCTGGTAGTTTAAGTATAATCCATCCTGGAGAAAAATATAAAACTATAGCAATGGAAGTCTTAACTTTTATAAGAAAAATCTCAAACATATTTATAAAGGGTCTTCATGATCCTGTGTCGTGCAAGACACTTATGTCAAAAACCAATTTCCAGTTATCGCCAGCGGGGGGCAGTAGATCGAAAGCATCGATTGTTATGCTCCTCCACATCACTGCATGAAGAAGAAGAAGAAGCAAAGGGCGGCCTTCACCGACAGCGCAAGCTAAGCTATTTTAGCAAAACCAAGATTCCCTTTCCCTCTTGTTATACACAGATTGGAAGGTTGTTTGGGATAAAGACTCATTCATGTAAGTGTCTAAAACAACCAGTATTCCGAACTGTCTGTGTTCTAACTGCGAGCCAAACATCTACAGCTGGGTTTTGTTTGCGTTGAGGAACTAGTTTAACTTGGAAATACCTATGCTTTGTTTGGTTTAGACTTCCTCATATATACCTAAACCATAACGTCTTCTTATTGGTTAGACACTGTGTGTTTGTTTGGCTTTTTTCAGAGAAAAAAACGATTTTTTTATAAGGTTGAAATAATTCATAGCTTTGTAATAATCGGTAATATTTGCTAGCTGGCGGTATCGATGGCTAACAAGAAGTATAGTCGACGGTCTCTAGCCGCGGGTAACACACGTGCGCTAATAGATGTGCGCCCTTTATCGGACAGCAGGCATATTAAAGTTTTAAGACGTATGTTTCCTATACAGCTTTCCTCAATTAAGAGTTTATACCTGTTATTTACCAACTGAAACTTTGAACGGCCAAATTTAAGCCACGTTATAATGTAATACGTGTCAGGAGGGGATGTAGAAGTCTTACATCAACTCCGGATCTTTTAGTATATTCTGCTCCCGTTAGCCTCCCTAAAACATATCAGTTAACCGACGAGATTAACATTTAATGATAATTAGTATATCTTTCTGTACGTTCTGTTTAGTTTCGTAAATGTCTTAAATCATGGCCATGCGCAGTATTTTTCAGAGTTGTCGTTTTGAACCCACTATAGTATAAATAGTATATTTTAAAAACGTGAAGTTATTCCCTGAAATAGTTGAATAAACGGACAGGATCGAGCGGTTAATGACTTGTTGTCCGATGATGGACCGGTTGCTCTGAGATGCTAAAGTTTGATCATTTCCGGAAGGACAGTGACCTAACTTGTCCACACCCTTAAATGTCTCTTTGTTAATGTCATGAATTAAAGATCAAACCTTTGATGACTTTTTTTTAAAGCCACCGTGTTTAAATTTTAACCAACTAACTCATATTTCCGGGACTACAGGTGTGTCGTCATTTCTAAACTCGGAAGTGAGCCTTTGGAGAAGG